CTTCCCTCTCCCCCGCACCCCCTCCACCCCGAGTGATAACGTCACCCAAACATTCATGTGCCGTCGATCCGCCGCAAAACACGTCAATTTGTGGCGGTATTGACGTCGCACGTCATCGTCTCCGTGCTGCTGTGGGTGGAGACTTCAACGCGCGGTGCACCGAGAACTCCCCGCGCCACCCTACTGATATATCTGCCGATGTCGCTTCGACTTCGCATTGCCCTGACACATGCCATTGTTCCCGAAATCGATACATACGACGTCGAATAATCGATATTGCAAACTTTTCGCTATGCACGGCACTTGGGCACTTGCAGCGCAGGCAGGCACTTACGCCGGCACCGCGCCTTCTGCCGCCGCAGCCAGCAGCCCGACCAGCCATGGCTGCAGCCAGCCCTACCGCACTATGCGGCGCGGCACTTTGTCAGCGTTTGGCAGTACGCCAATTACGCACAATGTGCAGCACAATGGGAGCGCGGCTCCGCCAGGCGCACACTTGGTGCGGCGGCACTTGTGGGTGGCCCCGGAGCTGGGCTGGGCCCCGCCAGGCTCGCCGCCAGGGACTTCCCCCGCCGCATTCAGCCCGTGAGCCTGCTGCTGCTGCTGTTTTACCTTTCTCGGTTTGGTTTCCTATTAGTCGGTGAGCGGTGCGGCGCTCCCCCTGCAAGTCCTGCAGGCCCCGCTCCTGCCGAGATGCGCAGCGCGCCGCCGCCGCCCCTCGTTTATATGGCCTCTAATTGACCGCGTGGAGACAACGGGAGGCCATGCAGCGTCAAACAGCAGCACAGGGACGATGCTCTGCTGGATGCTTTTGCTATTTATTTGCTGCTTATTTTCTGCTGTTGGTTTTCGTTGTTTTTTTTCATCTGGACTTGTAACACTGCAAATCCTTCACTTTTCGGTGTCGGTCATTCTTTCATTGAACGCTCAGTCGTTGAAGGGAGGGTGTGAACTAATCTCGCGTCTCTGTGGAGACACACGTCTTTTGGTTAGATTGCTAAGCGGCAAATCGTGCGGTTCGTAAGAGTTGAACGACTTCGGGATTATCCTGAATTAAAAAGAATGCCCAGTGCGGATCGGGTCGGCCCTCGCCGAGCTCGATGTGTCCCTTTCCTTTCTCCCCTCCACCTCGTCGCCACACCACGCCGCGAGTTCGCCGAGCAGCTCGGCCCCGGCTCGCCATGTCTGTCTTTATTTTCTTTTTATTGGGAAGCTTTTGTGTTGGTATTGTTTATTGTTTGGCCGTATCTGCAAACCTTATCTCCATACCTAACACGTTCCAGCAATGGTTGATAGTAATTAATTGGCTATCGATTCCCGATCGGGTCACACGGCTGGTGTCCGTCTCCGGGGAGGGCCTGGACGTCCACGTCAAGCCGAGGAGGGAGCCCAACCCGTCCAACCGTTTGTGTGTGCAAACGCAAACCCTCGCGCTCTTGGAAAGGGCGGGCAGGCCTTTCCGACTTATTTATTGGGCTCAAAGTTCTCTATGACTTGTTGATGCTCTCTCAGGACCAAGCCCAGCACCGGCATGGCACTCCCCCTGCTGAACCCAATCGGCACTTTCTCAAAGTGATTAATAACCTCGACCCGGCATGCAAATTTCACGAGAAGTAGTCATTTGATGGCTGGAGTCCCGACTGTCACGGGAGTGAGCGCGGCAGTGCTGCTGCGTAGCTGCGTGCCGCCGCGTGATGTGCTGCCAGTGCTGCCTGCTCTGAAGTGGAGTAAGCACATGGCTTTCCAGGAACTCCCTGTCCTGATCTGATTGCGCGGGACCACTCCCGCTGTCAGGTACTTGACCACGGCAAACCGCGGCTTCGTCTCCGTTTGACCAGCCAAGCTTGAGCAATGGCTTGAGAGCACACACCTACACGTGTCTTGTCTTAGGCCCAGCAGAGGTAGTAGTTTTAAAAAAATATATGTAAAGTACCAAGCAGGAATAAAGAGAAGAAAAATGCAAACTGCATGACTTTATGGTCAAGGAATGTTATTTTCACAAGGAAAAAAAAAAAGGGGGGGGGCACAAAGATGGCACAAGAGTAAGCTAAAGAGTACATTGCGTCACATGGAACAGTTATTCCATTTCCCCTGCTTTGAATGATACAGTTGACTTTACACATTGAATACAGAGAGTCTATTCCGTATTATTTAAGCGCGGTTGTGACCACATAGCCCATATTGTGGTCACATTACACTGAATGTGTTTGTAACATTTAATGAGACTGTAAAGGCTATCTTCCTCAAATTAAGAAGAAAAAAAAACAGACAAAATAATACAAAATTGTGATTTTTGGCAGGTGCACCTGTCAAATAAAATTAAAAAAATGAACAAGAATTAACTTAGTTAATTGATTATAATTGATTGATATATACTAAAAAATAGCACCAATAAAAGGTTGACTGTTTCACTTTTTAAAAACAAAAAGTTCTAGACAATTATAAGTATTCAAATCAAATGTGCAGATCTGATATAATAGCACACAATAACAAGATGAACCAATACATGTCACACTCACTTAACTGTATCATGCTGTACAAATCAGTCAGTGTGAGAGACACCTGAAAAATTACTACTATGAGTTTAATGCATAAACAAAACTTAATTACAGCATTGGCTAGAACAGAAGTAGACCATGAGACTAGACTCATGAAAAAACAGTTTGTACCTTGGATTATGTCATAAATACTTTAGAAATCAGGCATACATTTTTCCCCTAAGAATTTAGATACACTTTTTTGCTGAAATTGTGCTTAATACACTAGAATTCTGGCATACCAATAGAAGTTTTGCAGCAGTTACACTTATCTAAAAGAATAACACAAACACACATTGACATTTGCTTAATAATAAGTAAAACTCAATTAGGTTTAGATAAAAATGGACACATAGGAAAAGACCACATCTATCAAAATTGTTAAACATGTATATACTACAGTACCAAGAGAAATATAGGATAAGTTCAAGAGCGATTACAATCACGGAAGTAAATGACTGCCTCTCAATTAAAATTGGTAGTTATTTTAAACGTTGAACAGTAATCGTCATAATCACATTTTTGGAATTAAAAATGACCTGTTTGGCCAAAAATGTCATTCTGGACATTCAGGGAGCATGAATGCCTCAAAATGCTACCAACAGTAAGTATCAAATTAGACATCATCAAATAGACCTCGAGGTGGATAAGTAAGGTGTTTAGTTCCACTTTGGTGCTGTGATAATGGTGTTTGTTCTTCCTCTTCAGCAGCAACATAATAATCTGAAGATTCCAACAAACCTGCCCGTACAGATTCAGTAGAATTCTGTCGGACAATTGCACTATCTGGAAAAAGGGTTTTCACTGGTCAGAAAAGTTGTATAATTTTACTCCTTAAAGAGGAAAGTTTGACAAGTTTTTAAAACTTTTAGAATGTTAATGGGAATCAGCATTATTTCCTTGCAGCAATATATCATACAAAATGAAAAGAGGGAAAGCTGTACCAAATGCAGATAGATAGACAGGACAGATTTTAAAGAAAATAAAACAAAATAAGCTTACTGAAAAAAATGCTATCTTCCTGTGATGTAGCCTAGAGTTTCATCACTAGGTGGAAGCAAATAAGTCATCTCACCATGTTCTGGGTCGTTTCCACTCCTTGCAGTTGGTCGATACCGTGAAGCAGAATTTGCCCCAAAACGCTCTTGAAATTCTCGTCTGCGGTTCATAGATTCTTCATTTCTTTCAAGTCTTCTCCTCTCTACAGAGAAATATCATATGAAACTGCAGTTCAATAAAAAAGGACACACAAAAAAAGAAAAGACATACAATAAAAGTTACCTCTTTTAATAAGTTCCCTGCCCTCATCCACGAGTTCCCCAGTCAGCTCATCATCACCAACAAATTGCTGAAAGCCAAGCATTGAGAGAGCTCGACTTCCTAAACTAAAATAGGTTGCAAGGCAAAACGCAAGCATCAACATTGGGAAATAGATATTAAATCCATCTGATATAATGGCTATAACATCCATGTGCCCCATCACCTGAAACATGAAAATGGTGTTAGGAATGTACTATCAAATGATGTTTTTTCCAAGTTTATCAAGAAGTGAGCCTTACCTGTGTGTAGTGAGTTTCTAGTATACGTTTCTTAATAATGTGACTGTCCATATGAATGAGACCCAGGAAATTTAAACACATTGGTGGAGTTAAACGGCATAGCATCATGCCAGAAAATATGAGACTGAATTCATCGGTTTGATGGTGAGGAGCTATGTAATAATGATTCAAGACTCGTATTTTAAGCACAGTTGAGTATGCACAAAAACACAAATATGCTATTATTAGTGTGGACAAAACTTCAATTGTAAAATAATCATAGTCAGCTTTTGCCAAATTTAAAAAGTTTGCAAACAGTGACAATACTGGCTCCTTGTTAAAGAATGTGACTTCTGACCAGACCACGAATATAGACAATATGCTACAGATAATAGCCCCGATCTTCAGTACATAACTGTGGAGCAGACAACGCCAATACCATTCTAAAATGAGAAAAAAGAAAAGGTATAGCATGATCAAAATAGTAATACTAGTGTCAAAATAGTTTTTACTGCAAAAGTTATTCTTACCAACTGTAGGAGTGAAAACTGCTTGCAAGATTGGTGAACGTTGGGGGGGAAAAGACCACTTGAAACGATGATCATGACTGACTTGGTTTTTAGCAACATCTTCCAACAAAAATATTTTTTTAACTAGCATGTCCCACTGAGTTTCGGTTCTGTGCTGTGTTTGAAGTGCCTTAATCACCTAGAGAAAGACAAATGCGTCAGGAAACAGCATGATGTTGAGAGCATAGACTTTAGTAAAGAAATTTAAGGCAATACCTGCTTATGCAGTCGTATCAAAGATTTTTCGGTTGGTGGTTCAAGTGTAGAATCATCAGAGGCTGGACGGCGGTTCATTCGTTCTCGCATCTCAATAGGGACTTTCTGAAGAATAGTCTCTAAATTCCGATATTGGGGATGGTTAGAGCGCACTGCAGCACTCAGAGCTTTCAGTGTCTGGATAAAAATGTGATTTGGTCTCGTGTAACATCAGAGATAACATAATAGGTACAGCAGCATGAATTACAATTTTTGAGAAGACTTACCTCCAAAACATCATCCACTGCATCCTGTGCCTCGCATTTGTCACAGCTGAGCTTAGCAGCATGAAAATATGCATAATGAAGTAAGTACCCTTTTTTAGATGCATTCCAAAGACTTCGAGGCACTTCAACCAGAGCATATCCTAATAATAGGACAAGGAGAAAAAGACCCCATGTGTTTGAGGCTGATGAAGCAATAGCTTTTAATTTTTGACTGAAAACAAGGTATATAATCATTAACGTAAAATGGCGAATTAACTAATAATGTAAAGTTCTCAATAACTGAGAAAATGTTAGGAATCAAAAAATTTACCCATCAAGTTCCATATCAGGCTGAAGTGCAAGATATATCAAAAGTATACCACAGATAAAAAGGTATGTGCCATAGTAAATAGTGTTATCAATTATTGCTGATTTTATTTTTCCTTTCCAGGTGAATTCTCCTGCACGGCTGTAAGACTGCATCACTGGCATAATCAGCCTGCAAAGCCAAGAAAAAATTCAGATTATTGAATATGTCTTAAAGGGAGATTGACTAAAGAGATCTTACAGTAGGAAACAAACCATGTCAGACACTGGGACGTCCAATAAACAACCCGCCATAGATTTGGGAAAACATTATCTGGAACATGACTCCATGGTTTCTTGCATTCTAGTTCAGTCTGGTTCACAATTGTCCCATTTTCTCCAATACATTGGCGATACACAGTCTTTAAAAGAAGTATTTAAATCATGCACATGTTGTAACAAAATTACACACACAGGAAAAGGATAATAAAAAGGCTATTATTGACTTAAAATAGTTGTCGACTTACTGATGACACATCAAGTGGCAGAACAAATACAATAAGGAAAGAGAAATACCAAGCAATGAGGACTGCTATTGTTACAACAATATGGTGCCGCATACAATTCCCATAGTGATAAAGAATTCCTGCAGCAAGGCAGAATGTGACAACCACATCGGTTAGAAGTGGTCCTAGAGACATTTTCACTGCAAATATCGAAGAAAGAGAGAGAAAGTATTTCTTAGAAATTATTCCAGAAACCAGAAAACAATCAGCAAATAGAATCTGACATACCGTGACGTTGTAAACATATATGTAGGAGGACTTCACAGTTGGGAAGATTCACCAGTGGAAGAGTTGATTTGTTGCTGTCTCAGCTTCTCCTCAGCCAGTTTCTGCATGTCCTCTAGCCGTTGAAGAGTAACTGACTTAAGAGGCATCAATTTTGGCTTGCAAAGTATGGGCTGAAAAATATCCTTTTCCTGCTGCTGTATAATGCCCGTGCTCAGGATGACATGTTTAACATTGGCAGGCTCAGACATATTATCGGAGAGTTATAAGCTGAAAATGTTATAATTCTAATATGACTTGACAACATAAAAGAGGACATTCAAATGTGTATTGTATCACAAAACACAATGTGAAATGGCAAGTGATGAAAGATTCACATGGCAAGGTAAAACATACTGAACAACCCCATACTGTTAATCGGTAATTTTCTTTTAAGTTTTTAAATGAATCTTAAAGAAAATAACAGCTTGAAAGTGAAAAAAGGGAGGAGTTAATAGTATTACATAAACTAAACCTAACCCAACGAGGCGACAGTAAATTCCACGTACGTAAAACTATATTCTTAAACAAGCTATCAACACGCCGGTTTGAATGAAACAATCACCGAATGTTCAGCAAACTCACCGAGGAACTTATCTTCTTTAAATTCAGTGCATATCAATAAATTTGAATGAATGCTGTTCACGTATGTTTCTGTGTAAGACCGTCTCGTCTGCTGGCATGCTATTTGCACAATGACGCGATGACAGATAAAAACAAATGAACAAGTGTTAGGAAGCGCGAAAATTCAAAACTCAACATAAGTTATGGATGAAATTGAACAAATAGTCTCCTAACTAAACCTCAAAAGAATATCAGAATTCATTTTTGGGGGGTGAGGACATTTTCAAGGAAAAACATTAACAGATGCAAAGCGTTTCATGTATTTTATTTGGCAGTCAAACAAACAGTTTTCACTGTTGACATTCTTTCACTGTTGTCAAAAGCAAAGCTCAAAATTGGTGCTGTTAGGAAAAAAGTATACTGGCATAGAGTTGAGGGAGGAAATAATTTGAAGCAATTAGCAACATATAGTAACCGAAATTCAAATTTTGCAGCTTCTTTTTTTATTTAGGAAAGGATCCTTCTTAAATTTTAGCTCACAAAATTTTCTGGAGCGATTTTGGTCAACTTTAACTTCAAAAGATACTTTCTTTAAAACTGTTTTTGTCTTACGCTTAACACTTCTTAAAGTTCTTATATGCTTCTCTTGTGCACTAGATTTCTTGATTTTCACATTTTTCTTTGCAACTGCACCAGTAATTTTTGACACAGGTTTTTCTTTAACACTACTACCTCTGCCTCCCTTTGTGCAATGGAGAACTTCAAGATTTGGCAAAGTAGAAGTTCTGGGCTCCTCGTCATCGTCATCCTCTGATGTTTGGGAAACAAAACCAGTGCCACCACAATTTTCACAAAAATGCACATCTAAATCATCATGATTTGACTGAACATGCTCTCTAAGATCAGAGTAACTTGTACATAGTGTCTCACATATTTCACATTTAAACATTAGAGAACCATAATGCATTTTCTGATGATTAACTAGATCACTTTTAGATTCAAACTTTAAATCACAATGCTCACAGTCAAGTATTGAATTTAAAACTGTTTGATATACCTCTTTATTTTGACCATCAAGATCCAAAGGACTACTTGATTGTATGTCCATAACTACTGGAGTCTCTGTAATGTGGTGAAGACGTGAATGACTTGACAAGTATTCATCATTTAAGAACAAAAGTCCACATTTTTCACACCGCAATTGAGGCCTGGATCGATGTATTTGGGAGTGCATCATTAAAGACCATTTGAAACTGTATTTCTTTTTGCAATCAGTACAGTTATACCGTTTTACAGAGTGAATTTCTTTATGCAAATCAAAAGTATCATAGTCCTGGAACCTAAGAGAGCATTCAATACATTTAAATGGTTCTATTGAATTGTGAGCCTTACAGTGTGTTTCATAGGCAGCGCCATCTGGGTATTGTATGCCACAATCACCACAAATATAATCACTAAATTCTACATCATTAACTGGTGAATAGATCGAAGGATCCACTTCAACCACTATACTTCTATCTTCAGCATCTGACTTATAAGATTCGTATGGGTCATTTTCAGTTTTAATGTTAGGGTTGATCAGCAGCTTTTCCTGTCTCATCGATAGGTCGATCCCTTGACATTCACTGAAGGGTTCATCGCCACCTGTATAAAATGGGCAGTATTTCTTAATGTTGCAATTGATAAAATGATTTTAGATTTCTATTAAAGGTGTTGTTTTACTCAAAAGATTACAGTGAGTAAGATCTACCTTCAGATTGTCCTCTTTTGAGAGAGGAAATAAAATTGCGGTATGATTCTTTTCCCAGTTCACACTGGATACCCTCCGACAAGGTTTGTAATATTCTACTTCCTTGGCTCATATTGCATGGCAAATTCTTCCTTCCCTGAAACAGAAGAAAAATTTAAATTTTAAACAGTTTTATTTCTGACATAGAGCAGGTTACTATTAGTCTACAGAATAAAATACTGTTCTTTTTTATATTTTTGAAACAGCTTTTGCGGGAAGTTTTATTACTGAATTAATTAATAGCTTAATGAACCAGGCTACACAAAGGTAAACAACAGCTAGTTTCTCCTGAATAAATATTTTTCTCACTAACATAAGATTCGATTGAGTTAGATAAAAGTATACAGAGTAGTACATTACAACAAAGCACTTAAACTTAAGACTGTTGTAGTAATAGTTGCTTAACCAAACAATGCTGCTGGTATGATATATAGGATGTACAAACCATTCACAAGCACTAGCAATGAATCAACTTGATGTTTATTCCCCTTGTCTATGTGGTCCTTTCTCAAGAATAATTGATCAGTTGAAACTTGGCAATGTGTCTATCTGATTTGTGGAGTATATGTAGTGTAAGCTAATTGCTAGCAGACGAAGTCGAAAAGGGGTGGGGGGTACATTGAGCATCGATGGGGATGGGGGGTTGAGAGCGGTAGGGGAGGGTGAGAGGAGGGGGGGGAGGAACAGGCTAAAATGACAGATGTGTCTGGTATGCCGTTTTCCGTGTCTCCTATTAAATTATGTTATGTTCAATCTGCTACCTCTTAATACCCCTTCTTTTGTGAGGTATTGGTGAGAGAGGATAAAAGCATGATAAAAGAGGGAGGTTGTAGCTATGGACTATGGGGTTGAGTCATGGGGTGGGGGGCTAAATGATAAGAATTTACTTCCTCGGATTATGGACAATGTCTTCAATATTTAGTTTTACAGTATCTTCAGAACATTTTAATATTTACTTGGAGAGTATGTATCTACGCTTTGCCCTTTCAAGACCTGACTTTTAGGCTTGTTTTCCTCTTACTGATTCACGTAGTGGTTCGTTGTATCAGCCTGCCCAGCCTGGGCTGCGTCTTAACATAATTCGATCTCTCTCGCACACATAACTCACCTACCAGTGCGACAAGGACAAACAGCGTTAGGATGTCTCCGAATAGACTTTAGGCTGCGATCCAGGCTCAAAACGCCATTTCGGGAAGTTTGCAAAGATAAATAAATTTTTAGGTGTCCAGCGGTGTGGAGTTGGTTTGACACTTACTGCAGTGTCAGGCTCATTGCAAGTAATCAATGAGCCAAAAACCAAGGTAAGTTTAACCACCCTTAAGATCTCTTGGCAGTTTGTGAGTATTTGTCCCTAACCGTCGGCCTTGTCATCCAACCTGCTGTTGGTTGGCCGCTATCTTTTAATCTTATTTTTATTGCATTTCGTCCTTTATGTCTAGACACAGAAATAGTTGACACACTCAACATCTATCTGATTTTGGGCTTTGACTTAAAGTCATAATCCTGTGATTTTAGTCCGAACCTTATTGTCTTGCTATTCGTTCCTAAAAGCAGGTGTTAAAAAACTTTCCACCCAGTCTCCTGTGTGAAATTGTATACCCTAGAGTAATAATGTCATGCATTCGATTTTCTATGGGAGTACTGTAAATATAGTATTATATGTACTGTCCATTACAGGATGCAGGGAATAATGAAATTTGGTGATAGGAGCAACAACGACTGGAGATGTTGCTTCTGCTTCCACGTTCGGACTGGGACAATTTTGTTGGGGGTGTGGCACTTGGTATGTATTTTATTGGATTAAATGGACATTTAAATTTTGTTTTAATAACACTTGAATTGTAAGTCAATACATTTATTTATTTTTTGACTTTCAATATAGATGTTGCACATCGTTGCGCTATCAGCTGTGACTGTTATATTAAGAAACACCGATCTCTACAAAGAATGGGATGAGCAACAAATCAGCGTCCTGCCTACTCCCTTGAGTGAAATTGACACACCCCCTTGGATTCGTCTTGATGGAATCAGCACTGACACTGACTTCCGTAATAGCCATGAGCCAGTAGCCATGCCATCAGTTCCTTTTAAGGATCCTGATGGTACGCCTTACTTGAACTACCACCGTACCTACAACTATCGTAAAACTCTGAGTATGTCTGTTCTATAATTAAGTCATGGGTTAATATTGTTCTCTCTATTTCAATTTTATGCAAAGTTGTCTTTGTTTTTCAGAGGATATGAATGTGATTGTGGTAATGATGTTCTGCTCATTCACTATTACTCTGCTCATGGTATATGGGGCAGTCAAGGGAAAACCATCTTACCTCATGCCATTTTTCTGTTTGCAAATGTTTGATTTCTGTCTGACAAGGTAAAAATAGTTAGTCAGTGTTATTGAGGGAAATATTCAGAAGGTCATCTCACCGGAAGGTCCCTGAATATTATAGTAGTTTTTTTAGTATTTTTCGTAAAAATAGTAAAAATTAATAAAATATTGTTAAATATTAGTGCCGAGAACTTTCTCATACTGCTCCCGTCGACGAGTTCGGCTGTTCCTACACTGCAGTGGGGATTTTGAAAACTAAGATACGCAGGAAACCAACGATTGACTGGAAATCTAACTTTACTGATTAATTATTATTTTAGTCCACTACAGCTTTTGTATTGTCAAGTTTGTAGTTCCTGTTCTAATAATGAGCTAGAATGATGATTGCAGGAAACTGTACTTATCATTACCTATTTTGCTCTACCCGTTTAACTTTTTTGATATTTTATCTTGTCGATTGAATGCCATGCAGTATGCTGTGTATTATTCCAGAATGCCACCTCTCTTCACATCATGTTTATCTGTAAAGGAAGAGTGTCACAGCCTTCTCTTCAGTGTTACATACAGCTTTGCTAGCTGCATTATGTGATACTGGACAAGAGATATTTAATCAACAAGATAAAATTCCAAAAAAGGCAAACTGGTAGAGCAAAATAGGTAACAATATGTACAGCTAACTGCAATTATCATTCTGGCTCATGTCTCATGAAGTTCACTACAATTATAGTTAATCAGTAAAGTTAGATTTGCAGTCAATCAATAGTTTCCTGAGTATCTCAGTTTTCAAAATCCACATTTCCAGCGCGGGTACAGCCGAACTCGTCGTCAAGAGTGGTATGAGTAACTGCTCGGCATTCTGAACATATATTGAAATATTAAACAATATTTTATGAATATTTCATTATTTTAAAAAAAAAATAGTAATAAAATATTGGTGGTGGGGGGGGACCTTCTGGAATCTACCTGTTATTGATGCTAATTAATATTTTATTCCTGCCTAATGATATTGTATCTTTTGCAGCTTGACTGCTGTTGGTTACCTATGCTATTTGCCAAACATGCACCGGTATTTGGCTGAGAGTCCCACGGTTCCATTCCGTGATCAGCTGCTGCGTCTCGATCCACAGGTTCTTTCTCTTCTCGTCCTTGGTGCTTTTACTGTTGTAATGCTCATCAAGGTAAGGTGTTATTATATGTAAAATCAGTTGTTTTCATCGCTTTTAATTAACTGATTTAAAGTAAACTATTATCTTCCTATAATTTTCAGTCGTACTTCATTGGCATTGTTTGGAGCTATTACAAATTCCTGACCCTGCGCATGGTTGCCCATCGCCGCACTGTGCACTATATTGAATCTGAGATAGCCACTATGTCACTTTCTGAATCCCTCCTTGGAACCATGCCCACAACTGTTGATCTGCCTGACTACGAAACTGCTGTGAAGAAGTTCTCTCCTCCTCCACCGTCATATGCCTGTGCTACAGCCATGGCCCAAGAGAATATTGCATCGCTCCCTCCAGTTGAATCTGCTTCTGATTCCTTGGCACTGCAGATTGTACCGCAGGCTCCAGCAATCTCTGAAACATCTACACAATCTTCTGCTTCTACATCTCCTGCTCCTGACCTGGTCTCAAGGAATGTTTAAATTTCTATGAAACTTGCAGTTATTTAGTAGGACAGCTGCAGTCAAATGCAATATATCAGAGAGAGCCCTTTTCAGTCAAATTTTATGTACATCCTGGCTTATACTGTATGTTGCTTTGTGCTCTTGTGAATGTCTTCAAGTGGCTTTTTAGCAGTGATAACCAAATTGAATCTAGATTGTATTGGCTTTTACTTTCTTATCAAAGGTAATTTTCTCTTTTTAACAGTTATATCTAGAATCAGCATTATATATTTTATTTCTCTAAATTAGACATCTGATAATATGAGTAATTACCGTATACATCTCAAACTTAAATATAGCTTTCATCAATTGTTAAAGTTTAGTGTGTTTTGTTTTCCCATATCTATCTATCAAGTTTAGTTTAATGGGATACTTAAAAGAGCCTACTTATTGCCTCATCTTCTTGCATTGGAGAGGTTGCTCTAGAACTGTGGCCGTAGCAAAGTTATCAGGAAGTATGTGTAGAAGCACTGAATGCAAGATTCATATTCACAATACTTACAGATAAATTCGAAAAGGTAGAAAAAAAAAGACATTTCTTATGGTCTTAAAAAAATTTCATTTCTATTTTCTAGAGTGTTGATTTATTCCAGGTATTAACTGTATCTAGCGTGGTTCCATTTACTGTTGCATTTCAAATGCAGTGAACACTGTGAGATTTGGGGAATATCAAGACAAAAATCAAACTCATGAAGAGTGCTGAATCTGCCTTTAATGTTTCAGAAGGTATAAGATTTTTTTCTATTTTTTTATGTTCAGGTTGTAAGTTGAAAGGATAGGACTGCTAACTTGATGGTGTAAAGTTATGTACGTACGGCTGTTTCAGTAGGGTGCAGTCTCAATGAGTTGTTTTACGGTCCAAGGTTGCTGGAGTTTTAGTTTTCCTATTTTGTGTGAGCAAAATAGTTTTTTTTTTTTTTAATCTATATATCTATTAAGTAATTTCTGTATGTATTATAATAATTGCATCCATCAGGTAAAGTTTTTGGCACTGCAGCCATAGATGTTCATCTTGCACATTATTATCAATCAATCAATTTTAATCAATTTCAGGCCAGGGATTTGACTGGAACTTCCTGTGTGGTATTTGATCATTTCTCACACTCTTATAGTGGTGAAGTGTGTTGATTTGGCCTATTTGATACTATCTTGAGTGAAAGTTAGTGTTATGTTGTGATAATAATGCCACAGGATTTTTCAGGAATCATGTGACTTTGCCATCATGATTAACTTCCAAAGAGATTTAGTTAAATGCACATGTTTTAAGACTGTTGTTCCTTAAATATAAATCTATCTTTTTTTTTTTCTTAACTGATTGTTTTATGTTTAGAATTTCTGGGAGATAGTACAGTTGTATAGCATATTTTATGTGCTTCCTTTACTGTATGTGCATTAATGTCTCATCTCCTTAAAATGTATATATCTCAACATGCACATGTTGAAACGTATTGATTAATTGTATTAAGTTTCTTCTGGTGTGGTTTGTGATACTCTCTTGGCTATGTGATGTAGAATAGCATATATTTTGTCCCATTGCGGGATTCAAACAGCGTGTTTTTTCTTTTCGTTTTTTTTTTTTTTCATCAGGAGCTGGTGGCTCTATTGTTTGAATGGCATTAAATATTCTTTCAAAACTGACCATACTGGATGGCCACTCATGTACTCTAGTATCTCTCTTAAAGTATGTAGTGTCCTCTTTGTTTCAGAAAGAAAGGAAAGCAGTGATTATAGTGTAATATATCCCTTGAAATACCCTTTAATTAGTTCTACCATTAATCGAGTTTTGGAAATATGTGCCGCCTATGAATACATTTTATCAAGATTTTATCTTGTATAGATAGCCTTCAACATTGTTGGTAGCTCTTTGGGAGTCAATAATAAAGCTACTAATCAAGGAATTAAACTTGAATTTTCCATTGTTAACCTTCTTTAGGGAATTGTGTGAGATAAGAGTCATAATAAGAATGTAAGAAAATAATTTATTCATGTCTTGATTGACAGTTTTTGAGGCAAGAAACCACTGGTCACATTTGGAGAAAGCATCAAGTTGAGCATTACCCTCTCCACACTCAAATGATTCAAATACTATTTGGAATGTTGAAACACAGACACAGACATTTAGGAGATTTCGTGTTGTCCTGTATGCTCTTCTGCTTGTGATCTTTGTTTCATATAAGCCAGAAATACTGTCCACATGAAACTGCAAACACTCACAAAAGGTACTCTATTCCTTTCTGGTATAAAGCAGAAGTTAACCGTCTGCACCACAGGCCAAACACATACTGCAGTCTGAAAAAACAATCATAATGGTAAGAAATTTCAAAAATTAAAAGTACAACTTTAAAAAGTTAAAATATTAATGATTGTACCTGCCATGTAGGTAAGAACTTGATTTTTGTCTCGTTAACAGCATCTTCTAAAGAACCCCCTTCCAGTAGGGTCATTCCGGAGTAGAAAGAACAAACAGCAAAAGGTCCGTATGTAAATTGCTCCACAACTGCCTGGCAACATAAAAATAAATTGCATTGCTTCACCTAAATTGATGCATGTAGAAAATGTCAGTGCAAAGAATCCAAGGTGGGATGTTAAAGAAGCAACAGTCATCAGGTTTAAAAATCAATATTTATTGAAAATTTCAAGCTTGGACTAGAACTAACTATAAGTATGTAACATTGTCTATGAAGGATCAAGCACTCCTTTTTATCACTGAAGCATTTAAAAATAGACACACTAAAAACAAAAAGTGGACATCCATAACTGCATTGAATCAGTTATCATGTATATCACATGGGACTTTGGGTCATAATGTCGTTCCATAGTTGATTGTACATCTGATGAAAATACTTGGTCAGTTATTTAGACACGGCAACATAAGGCACTTGATTGGTCCTTTAAGCATGCAGATTAAATTAGCTATGAAAATAATTTCCTTAAATCGAAGTGAAGAACCCTGTATGTTTTGCAGTAGTATTTCTTTTTTCCAATCTGGATTTAAAGACGTTTCTGTGATAAATGAAATTAGAGAATGAAAACTAAGCATCACAGTTTGAAGAACACAGAAATCTCTGGCAGAGGGTAAAAACGATTTGGGTAGATTATGTCACAGACAGACATGTTGTTTAATACTCAAATGCCTTCTCAACTTGGTATTCTATTTGAAGACCTGCACTGAAGAAAATACTGTACTAATGATGTTCCATAACAAACACAAAACCCAATGACATTAAGAGTTGCAAATCTTTGGCACCTGACTCGTATGGTAACTAAATCAAATACACTAGAATAAACACGCACATATAAAACAAATCACATCAGACATTTGTCATATTCTTCAATAAAACATTAATAATCCATGATGATCATCATAGAATAATAACAATAATAACAATAATGAGAGAGAGAAAAAAAGGCAAGACGGGCAATATTGTAATACTGGACTAGAAAGCCATCACATATGGTAACATTTGCACTTTTGGTACTTTATGATCTACAACATGGTCATTGTTTTAGCATGTTAATAAGCGGTAATAGGACCTATTGACAGTGGAGGATATGGTTTTATTTGTTGACTCTCTAATTGCTTCATGTAAGCTAAAAACGTGGTCCAACAGAGGCTACACAAACTGACAAATGGCACCCTATTCTGAGGAGGTACAACAGTGAAGTTGAAGGTCTGAAGAACTGGCCAAACACAAGCCCCAACCTGAAAATATGTTTTTAAAATCACTACATTTGGAATTTTAACCAAGTTAAGTGGCATATGTTGATGTGGATGTCAAAAAAGTAAGAGAACTTTGAGCTTTCTAAATATTAACTTACTTTGTAGGTGGGCAAAAATTTTGATTTAACTTCTTGGCATGCTTCGTCGAGAGTGCCTCCTTCCAACAAAGTCATGAAGAAATAGAAGCAAATCATGGCACTAGGAGTATAAGATACTTGTTCCACCAATGCCTGCATGAAATACCACCACTCAGCAATACCAAATAATAAATAAGTTTAATCATGCATCTATTTCTACCTAAGCTATTTTTAAAATCTCCCCTTAATACAATGGCAAGCAATATAACTTAATAACCAGTTTCTTTTGCCAAAGACATTGACCACGCAGACCTCATAAGTTTACATGACTCTGGCTATGAGCAAAATGCTCTTTAAAAAAATATCCTTACCTTGTAAATTCCAGATCTTAATCCAGGTTTTGGAAAAAGATATCCAGCAATCGTCATCCAGGTGTACAATGTGGGTGCGACAAAGCAGCAACCATAGAGACTAAATCGTAAGGCTCGCCAATAATCCAGTGTTTCTTTTCCTTGAATCTTTTGCTGGACACAGCTGCCTACTGGCCATATACATGCATAGGACATCATGCCTCTTGACAATGGGTATTTATGGGTGAAGGCAGCAATCCTGCTCCATACAGCTGTCATCTTGCTTGTCACTCCTGCCCCACCACACTAATTGAAATGACACTGAAATCATAATATTGTAGCTGTCAGTCAGCAATTGTGATTCCCTTCACATATTTTGATGTTGAAAATTATCTTGCACCAGTAAATTATATTCCTAAATTTTGTATTATTACGTTAAGGATCAAATTATCATAAATAAAGTTAATCATAAGATCCAACACAGTACTTATACAAATGTATGTTTTTCTCCCTACAGGTGTAATGACACTATCTGACCTTCACAGTAAATTAATACAAAACCTGTATTTTCAAAACATGTATTTCAGTTACTATTTACCTGAAATGTTAGTGTCAGCAAAAAAAGCTGTCTAGTACATGTGACAGCGGAGGAGGCAAGGAGCTAGCAGAAGTCGCGCGCAGGTCGTCTGCTTTCGCAATCATTGTGAGCTCTGCTCGGGGTCCTAGGTCATCGCGATGCATCTATCTTTAACATCTAGACACGTGCAGGTTGCGTTCAGAAATCACACGAAACAGTTTACTGTCCTTGTCACTCCTCGAATGCGAAAAAGGGAGCGAGTGAAAGGAAACAAAATGTTGTTCGTTTGAGCTGGTTAAATTTTGTTTTCCTACTATTGCTATTGCCATTGTAGCGGTACATTGGTATTGCAGTTTGAGACCTATGTATCCGGCTTGGAGGCTATCACTGTTTTGCGTATGAGAAATTGGCATGCCTGTAATACCACTCTGTTATAATCTTTAATAGAGATCGTTTTAAAAATACGTTTCAGGGTCCGCCTCGACTATTTCTGTTTACTAGGCTCTGTACCCCAAAATTCGTCTTAACTTTCCGTTTCGTGATTCTGATTGTTTGCAGGGAGGAAACAACATTACAGTGATCGTCTATTTACCACTGATTACCTTCTCAAACAGCGCCCTTTGTGAGTTAAAATGATCGAAGGTGAGTTTATAGTGTGGAATCATAATCATAAAACCTCTGATTAGGAGGCCTCCGCTTCCGCTCTGCTGAGTAGTCCTGCTCACCTTAACGCCGTGACTGTAGGCAACCCATCTGGCACTGTGACAGCAAGGTGGCCGAGAGCAGGGGGTCTTAAAGCGACTAGGGCTTTTTATTTTGAAGCAAAAGAGACGTCGTACGTCAACTTCGTTAAAGATTGTCGTTTTACTTCTTTTTGTCAGGCCTCGTTCTACAACTTCCACTGGATAACGGATATGAACATGCGACGACTGACAAGAGGTCAGACGGAGCGAGACCCAGCGGCCACGTTCCTTGTCGCAGGTTGGGGTCCGGTGCTCGCCGCCGCCGCCGCGGTGCAGGCGCACTCCAGCCTCCTGGGCAGCCTTGCGAGGCCATCGTCCTGCGGGCCCTGCCGGCCCTGCCCTGCGAGGGTCCTGGTCCTGCTGTGGTCCTGCGGGTCGAGTCCCTCCCCTGGTCTCTCCCTCCCCGTCCCGCGGCCCAGCAGGACCGTTGCCCAAGCGGTCCTCACGGCCCGGCTGGGCTCGATCCTTGTGTCCCGGGCCGCCGCCGTTCGGCTCGGCTCGGCTCGACTCGGCTCGGCCCGGCGGCCCCTCCCCTTCCCCGCGGCGGCCCCTCCCCGCGGCAGCCCCGCGGCGTGCTGGGCCCGGCCCGTGGCCCGGCTGTGCCTGTGGCCCGGCCCGTCGGCCCGTCCCGGCACCGGCACACACGCACACGAGCCGCCGCTGCGTCCACCCGTCTTGTGCCGTGCCGTGCCGTGTCGCGCCGTGTCGCGCCGTGCCGCCACCGCGCCGCGTCCCCAGGCCAGGAGAGCCCGCCAGTGTCGTCCGCCCCCGCTGCGCCGCGCCGCACCGCGCCAGCCGTGCTGCACATCGTGCTGCACAGCGTGCTGCGCCGGGGTCCCGCCGCGGAAAGTGAAAAGTGAATTTGTGTGCAGTGAATGTGTCAAAGTGCGAGTGTGGAATGACGTGAGGCCAGTGTCATGTGCCTGGAGCGGGCCTGATCCAGTTCGTCGTCTGTTCGCCCGGCCAGCGGCTGCCCCAGGCTGCGCCAGGCTGCCCCTAGGCTGCCCCAGGCCCACGGCCCTAGGCTTGGCCGCGCCTGGAGATGATTATTTCCAAGGACTTGTTTTTGCTGGGGGACCAAGACTACCTCCGGCTCCCTAAGGAGGAGAAGCGGCCCGCAGCCATGGTGCGCCCCACCGTCGTCAAGTCCCAAAGGTAAGTCCGAGGGTGGCACCCTCACGCACGTGACAGGGGTGGGTGGCCATGCAGGCGCGGCGCTGCGACATTCGTCTCTGAAAGAGGCTGTTTTCTGTAACCCGCAGTGATGTATGCAGTGGTCTACGGCTCATAGGGTTGTGCTCTTCTCCAGAGAGCCAGTGCATGTGCGCGGGAAAGGGGAGGGGAGAGTCAGCAAACTGTAAATTAGCTGCATTCACGTCGTATTTTA